AGAAAAAAAAATAGAAAATTCGAGTTTAAAATATACAGGTTTATCAGAGCATGCGAGCAGTTGTTAGTTTATATAGGAGAGTAAAATCAACTTTTCCTACGTGATCAATTTGTGCTCTAAAGACAAAGATGTTGTATTTGATCGCGCTAACAGCTAATAAAGCGCCAGAAGTCATTAAAATCGCAAATTGCGGCGTGATCCAGCTTCACAATTCCCGTAGTGCTTTGATCTCGGACAATAGTAGATTTATCGACGAGATAAAGAAACGAATGGCTATCATGAGATCAGCAATGGATAACATCAAAAAAAACTGCAAATCTTCAGCACGAATCTAACTACAAAACCGCTTCCACTTCATCTCGAGGAGTACCTTGGTCACTTTAATTGACGACTGCTAAGTTAACCAAGATAATAATATACCAAAAACCTTTATCTATACATATAATTTATATCAAAATACTTGACATACATATTAACGTATAATAATTACTGACCAAAGTATATCCCAGTTTAATAGTTTTTGTTGTATTTAATAACAATAATAATCATGATATTGTAATGTTTGTCCACAGGTTTAGTGAATTGGTGTCGGACAGTAATGTAATGCAATCATGGATCCGCAAGAATTAGTACCTTTGGAATGTAAGTTATTACCTAATCCCTACCTAATAAAGTTAATATAATCTTCTATTTTCTCAATTCAATCGTTGATTGCTTCTTGCTCCTACCATTCACTCTTCTCTGCATCACCCAAAGGTCAGACTGGGAGCATGCCTGCGGCATTAAGTCCACCTTGTATACACTTTGTTTATGAAGCCTTAATAAATAAATAAATAATTATATTCTATAGATTACTCATTGTTTCCAAAAAGCCTAGAGCACAAGTCACATATAATAGGGAGGATCACATTCCTATTCAAAATACCAAACTTTCAACCATAAATATTGTTTTTAAACTGGAACTCTTTATAGCTTCCTCGACTATCTCACTTACGATCACTTGACTATCAAGGCAGCAAGACCAAGGCGTGTAATGATACAAATAAAGAAAATAGTTTAGGGAAAATAAAATAGATTGCTTGGACTCTTTGAAACAAACGAGCAGACGGATCACCTGACCCTAAGCGATCAGCGCTGCCCATGGACACTCGCAACACCAGAAGAGTCACAGGTGCATTGCCGGACTCTTAAAAAGGAATACACTCTTTTCTTCAAGGTTTGAAGGTCGTGCCGGTCGTACTTGAAACAAAATCAGGAAATATGACTATCGTTATGTTTCGTTGTCTTTGCTCCCTTACTGCTGAGGATCGTAGTTCCGTAGACAACAACATGCCTCTGTCGGCTACTCTCTAATCGACAATTAAAAATGATGATGACTAAAATTCCACAGCGGGCCTCCCCCTCCCGCGCCCCCACCATGGGACCAGGAACTGCTACCTGGCACCTCGCACCTGCTACACAGCACCACTCCGCCTGTGTCGGCTACTGGCGCTACTCTTCGGGATGCCCACCGTATTCCTCATGGTACCACTGTATTTAAGGTAAGGAAGATTCCTATATAATACTTATTCACGTAAACTATTTAAGAGCAAACTTATAAGCCCCAGCCAGCCTTGAAATCAGTTGAGCATCCTCGATAACTTTACGTGAGGGAATCAATTACCCATTTTAATTATTGGAGATATTTTTTTAGCTAACTCGTATTGAACAAGCTTGGTGATTAATGCTCTAACCTTCTCGGTACGAGAAGAGGCCTTTGGTCAGCAGTAGCCATTTGTAGCTAGTTGATGCTAATGATTTCTTTTTTAATTTAACGAATGTGATAACCTCTTCTAAAACATTTTCTATAAGATAAAGATAAGTTTATCTATGAGTTAGCTTGGTGTGAGCTTTAGCATAATTTATTGAATGTCAGTGTTCATTCCATAGATTGATCACCGACTGAAATGTCGTGGTGGCCCGTAGGTTTAAGACGCCCGCTACTCATGCATGAGGGTGCGGTTTTGACACCTACCAACGGCAAGTACTAATGTGACTTTTTCCGAGTTATATGTAGAGGTACTTTCTAAAATTATTCAGACACCACTAACAAACGGTAAAGGAAAACATTGTGAGTAATTTCTAATAATATGTTTGTAATCGCCAACCCGCATTGAGCAAGCGTGGTGTTCAATGCTCAAACCTTCTCCGTGTGAGAAGAGACTTTACTCAGCAGTGGGAATTTATAGGCTGTTGATGATGATGATCACCGACTCAATGAGATTAATATCAAAACCATTATTCGTTAACATGACTTTTTTTATTCTCTAACAACCTTTCAGAAAAATTGTCTATCTCCAAAACAAGACCAGACGTAATGCTATTCATAACAAATTAAACAAAGTAAGTATGTACATACCTCTCGACATCGTTTATTACATGACAATATTATCAGTACTACATAGAACAGTCTTGTAGACATAGACTGATGTGTCTGTCTGTCTGTCTGTCTGTCTGACACTTGAGACTAAAGTGCTGGTCGATAACCTCAATGTCTGAGCTTCTATTGTTAAATACTGCATTATAATATACCTATACAAATAGCATACGTACGATAGTTGCATCGAGTGAGGAGAAGAGTGCAATTGTCGGAAGACTTAACTATTATTCGGGACCCTGGCGTGAAGAGCAGGAATAGGAACCGGGTGGTTTTTAGTCAGTAAGAGTCTGACACTCTCTCTCGGTTCATCCAAGGCTGCAGAAGTCATTAGATGATCCACCTCCAAAAAAATAGACTAGTGTCTATTGCACCGGCTTAGGATATTTTGGACTAAAGACTTAAGACAGGTCTTAATGAAGATAAAGCTGGTATATTTTCCTTAAAATCGTTGCGTTATTTATCATAGTCTTAGGTAAATATTATTCAGTCAGCAAAATTATTTAATTTTTTTTTTTAAGGGGGAAAAATCATGGCGCTAAGGTGTGTCAGACTCTTACTGACTAAAAACCACCCCGTTCCTTCTCCTGCACTTCAAGCCGGAGCCCCGGTAACCCGTTAGATTCTCCGGGACTCCAAATCGGCATCAGCCCTATTGGGCCCCATCCGTGGTGGTCTCATCAGGCTCATCATCATCAGGCTCTTTGAGGTGCGCGCGGAACGCGACGCGCCGTACGGTCGGGTCTAGTTCTGGTCGGGCTAAGAGCCATCCATGCTCGCCGTCCGCAGGCCCGCGCTTACGGTGGCCGGAGATCGCCTCGCGACCCGAAGTGTGCTTCGCAATGGCTGGGTTGCGAGGAGGCAGCGCTTCGCTCCCTCATCCTCATTTACTCAGAATATCTACTTCATCACCAGCTGTCACAAAAATTCTTTCATCAAAATATTCTGTGTATTATTGGCGATTCTGATGCCGACTAAAAATATCTTTGTGTCTGTAATACCTCTAATTTGTAACAATTAAATGATAAAAGTAATTATTTAGCTGTGTACAATTCCTTCACTGTTGACATACATATACTGCATCGAGTTGATAAGACCACAAGTATTGTTTCAACACTCGACTCGACTCGACTCAATCTTTGTTTTTTAATCTACTCGTGCTATATAACATTATTATTGGTCCTTTATACATAGTTGAGATCTGTTCTCGTTAGCCGTTGGCCGAGAGCAAGTGCAACTTCTGGTCAAGGGGCCTCGGGTTCGATTCCCGATAGTAATACTGCACAGTTGGTGCTGCTGCACTGCTGCCGCGCAACTTGTAGCGGGTTCGATTCCCGAGCTGAGCAGCTCTTTGTGTGATCCACAGATTGTTTTTCTGGATCTGGGTGTCATGTGTATGTGAACTTGTATGTTTGTAAACGCACCCACTCACGGCACAGGAGAAAATCTTAGTGTGGGTCAACGTTTTATATAAAAAAATACTGGGTCTTTTAAAATTTCTCAGTAGCAGTACGGACGGAGTTTGGAATCGTGCCCAGTATAATATGTCAATAGGTTTACTCCCTATTACATGGGACTTATAACATAAATAGTGAAAACCTGACTCACACGACGAAACATAACGCAAGCGTGGTTCCACGTCAGTTTTCTGCTCGGCCGTGGTATCGCTCCGGTCGAGCCGGCCCATTCGCGCCGAAGCATGGCATAATTATTGTCCTTTTGTTACAGATACCGGGTGTTCCTTGGCCAGATGTACCCGATGAGTATGACAGATATGCGGCTGATAGATAGTAAGATATCGCCCACTTGGTGCCAGGTAGGTGTGTACCGTTGTACGTCACTATATCATATCATATCAGACACTTCATCATCAATCTCTGTGTGTAATCACTTGATGACCACGGCTTGGTCTAGTGGCGCGCCTGTGCAGCTCATATTATATTTTACATAATATTATCCATTCATAAACTCACGCGTATCGCCCATGGGGGTAGGCAGAGACTATGGAACGCCAATAGGGTAGATGCCTAATTTTTATTGTAATGTCCGTCTGGTAGATCATTTTAAATCAATAGACACGATTTTTTACTATCTTACAGAAACGAATACTTTCGACGATATATTGATTTGTAATGTCGCGTGACGTCACTTCTATGTACATTTTATACGTAGAAAGAAATGACGTTTTAGCCCCCACTCCTAAACTTTGATTCGTTTTATCTAAGTATTGTTTTATTATACGACAAAATAAAAAAAGTGTCTAATATTTTTTGACGTGACAACGTCTTAAATTAGGTTGCGGCTGGGAGTCACTTATGAAAAAGTGTAACGCTCGGTAACGTTACGATGAGTCACCGAACGAGAGAGAGGCCCGCCGAATGCCTTGCGTCTCTCTCCCACTCAACTATGATCGGTCTGCCGCGTGCGCAGCACTAGTTCATTCAATTCCTTGTTCCTATTGTGCAATTTAATTATATTCATATCAATAAATATTCTAAAAAGACGTTGTCACGTAAAATCTTCGCCCGTAAAAACGACTTTACAGGCAACCATTTTTTACTTAACTTACGGAATGATTAGATTCTTAATTTTCATACCCTGTCATCATCCCAATTGCTACAATTCTTACAAACTTCTTTCGCTTCCTCAACAGTCATCAGTCTTTTCATGGATGCTCGTCAGTTAACGATACTTTACATTTTGTAATCAGGGGTTTTATTTAGGAACTGTATAATTTTCACTCCAGTTTTTCTTTCACTACTAGCTCCTTGTCATTATATAAAATTTCATTAGATTGATTAAAAAAAAACCTAATGTCCATCGCCGGCTACATCATCGCTTACCATCAAGTTAGATGGTGGCCAACTATTAGTTAGATGTAAAAAATAAGAATTAACTATAGACCAAGCTAATGCGTGGAGGACCAAGACGTCCATCAGTAGACGTCTTTCGGCTGTTGATGATGTTGATGAAATCAATGCCTTAGACATTTAACGATGCAATCAAGGCTCCAGTGATATTACACTTAAATAGTAACCCATACTTTAATTTGTAATCAATAACTATTACAATTTATTTCACCTACTACATATTTACGTTTAACATAATAGTGAGTCATAGTCGCTAACTATCAAAATTCATTGAATATTATTCACGTTGTAGGTACTATATTATAATAGCTATGCAATGAATATGAAATAAGCAGCACACATGCCTTCTAATGACAAAGGAACAAACAATTGTCGTTCCAAAATTTAGGGCGATGTAGACCTTAGAATCAGAATTCAAATCATGTTTATGTTATGGTCCAGTGTTTGGCAAGTGGTGCCGTGCAGTCCTCCACGGACTTAAACAGTTACTGGGGCTCCAGCTCGAAGAGCAGAAGTCATTGCACGATTTTCCCCCTCAAAAAAACGTATATGATATTTTTTTTTATTCTCTTTTATTTGGTAAGGGGTTTTTATCCACATGGATATGTCAACCCCATTGTAACTTATACACTATTTTCTGAAAATTATTAAACACCTATTATTAACACTTTTCGTACTTAAAACTATGCTTTTGTCTATACGAAGGGGAATTATTGCCTAGAACTCTGTATTAGGCTAGAAATAATGCATTTAGACATGTTTGATTTAAGGTGAGCTAAAATTTATAATGTATATGATAATTTAGCAGTCAAAATAATTTTATAAACTTGGACTGATTATAAAACTTCTTTCACACTAGGGAGTTGCCGGTGTATGAAAATTAAAAATCTAATTAGTACGTCAGTTAGATAATGTAAAAACATTAGACACATATTTTTTCAATAATGTATAGGTACAATGTTTAAGTAAAATGGCGTTAAGTTTAGGAGTGGGAGGTCGTTACGTCACCACGTGCTACAAACTACAGCACGCTGTGACGTCACAGGATATTATTGCGTTCCACGGTGGACGCCATCATGCGTGTAAGAGACCTCACGACGGGGACTGCAGTGTCCAGGGGTAAGGTCGTAGTGGCGGTGTCCTTGGACATCGCCAATGCCTTCAACTCCCTGCCCTGGAGCTGCATTTTGGAGGCACTTCGATATCATCGGGTGCCCACCTATCTCCGTCGTGTAATCGAGGCATACCTGACGGAACGGTCCGTCATTTACCCCGGTCACCGAGGTGAGTGGAACCGGCGAGAGACGTCGCGCGGTGTTCCACAGGGTTCGGTTTTGGGGCCGCTCCTGTGGAACATCGGCTATGACTGGGTGCTGCGCACCGACCTCCCGAACAACGTCAG